AGGTCGTTTAAGTAAATTGTGGAGGCTCGTCAAACAATTATTTAAGATTATTGCATGTAGAAAAACGAAGGTTTTTTATTGATATTCCACATAGGCTATTCTTATCGTATGATGCATAAATTATTATATTATTATAATATATTTATAAATTATTATATTATTTTATAATATATTATAATATATGTATATATTTTTATATAATATTCAATTAATTATTCAATTAGCCAATCAACCGATCAATTATTATTCAACTAATCAATATTGGACACGACTGTAACGCAATGTAATGTTTCCGTATTTTTAATTGTTCTGAGGGGATTGGCTCGTTTGGCGGTAATCGCATTTGTCATTCTTCAAACCACTTAACTCATCTATGGCATTCTGAATTTTATAAAAAACACGCGGGCCATCCCACACTAACAAACACACACAATTTGCACACACACACATATGCCACACACGCACACACACATGGCACACACGCCACATACACAACACAAATGCCGCAAACACACACATACATACACACATTTTATTATCACACACACATACACGTTAAACACTTAGGGTAACATCGTCCTCTTTGGCTAGAATCAACTGATTTTAATTTTAAACCAATCCTATATAGCTGATTTTGGTTCTGATTTAAATCAGTATTCACTAAATTTTTAAGATTTTAAATACTGAAAATAATTGTAATGAAGTTTTAATAATAATAAAAGCGATAATAAAAATGCTATAATAATACTTATTCAACGAGTTCGTATACTCACACCGACTTAAATTACTTACACTTACAGGCACACACACATGCACACATACATAGGCACCCAAACACACGCACATTCATTAGGACATACATATTATGGACATGATCCATGCACATGATGATCGTGATCTAAAAACATTTCAAAGGAAGGAACCGACCTTGACATTTGAAAAACTATTTTATCTCATTTCATTGCCATATCGATGAGGATGATGACCTAACCATTGAATTATATATAATATATATAATTCCATGGACCTAACTAATAAAAACTCATAAAAAAAATTTTAAACTTTTTAGTTAAACACTTAGCGAAACGAAAGTGATTATTTATTCAACAAATATGTAAGTCATATATAGAATATAACATAAAACATTAAACATAATAATATTTAATTTATAAGATTTTACGATATATATGTTATATTCTATATATGTAATGTAAGTATATGATTTCAGATCCTTACCAAATTAAGTTAAAAACTTAAATTAACTTTTAGTTAAAGCGTTACCACCTTTACGCACGAAAAGTAGACGAATTAGATTAGAAGTTAGAGGTTGTTTTATTTTATTTTTTATCAATTAAAAATCAATATTTTTGATGGCTTTCCTAAATTTTTGTTTTCAGAAAGATTCGATTTACGGTTGTTGTTATTAAATATAAAAGTTATATTGGGTTTTTCTTTGATTTTGATAATATAATATAATTTCATACTATTATAAAATATAATAAATAAATATTTATATTAATTTATTTAATTATAATATTTTAATTACTATTATATTAATATTAAATTAATTATGCATGATTTTCACTTTCAATCAGACTGACCATGGCCAGTTCCATTCCTCTATCATTTGTACAAAGCAACCTAAAAAATGGCATTGGGAGGTATGTATGCCAGCTACAACGACTCACCATCAAATTTTGTAAGAGTCATGGTTCTAGTAGAAGTGCCAGGTTATTATAAATCATTTGTGTATGCTTCCTTGTTTCATCATAG